AAACCGACGCGCGAACTTTGTTTTCGAAACAAATGATGAAACCTTGTGATCTGATATCACATGATACCCAATTTGTGCGACGCTTGGCTACTTTGTCGATCTGCAGCAGCTGTGGCACAGAATCTGCTCCGCTTTAGCCTACCCCCTTATATGGAATTATACTGTGTGACGTTGGATAACGCTGTTGGATTTCTTGACTATAATGTGTCTGAATTATTGACAAAGGATATTTCTGTAACGGTCCGAGTTTTCGAATGTAAAAGCGTTCCAGTGACCATTATCCTCCAAGTTAAAGCAACTGTGGTCAGTTGGTTTTTCTTGAACGTCTTGCGGCTTGGTGAATTCTCGAAATATTCCGCCTTTCTCAACCCACTGTTCGAATTGTCCGACGGTTACCAAGAACATACATATATCCGAGCATTTTTCCTTACAACTTCTTCAAAGCGCGATGATGGCTGATATGAGCGGAACAGTGCAGTCAACGTGTTACCAAAGTCGCTGATAACGTTGTGAATAGAATGTCAGCTCATAACGATAAATAATTCGAATAAGCGATTTTACTAGCAAATATCACCTACTCCGCATCTAGCACAATTCTTGCCCGTAATCTCAAGAATTTTCGTTTCTCTAAATAGTTTGTGGTCAAACGTTTATTTAAACCAACATGTATTATGTTTTAACAATATACGACATTCATGATAATCTATTATGTAAAAACATATTGTAGTCGTACGGAAAACAAAGATATACACTTACTATATCAGACAGTTCGTACATCAACCTTTTAGTAAAGTAATACTACTTTAATGGAGTGGTCATACTTTGAACGTTGTAAAAAATTATTTATTATTATGGATTTATTGAAGTTACAAAAAAGGTAGCTGCCGAGTGTTCTGTCTGTATAAATTTATCGCTAAATGTATACCGTTTAGTAGTCAAGGCAAAAACAAATGTTTAATTATGATTAATGCATTGACACATTCGAAGTTATTAATTTTCACGGGCTAACTTCCGAGAGGCTAAATTTCGTAAGGTCGCTCGTTTAGCAGTAGTTGGACAATAAAAGTCTTACGTTAATGAACAATCATAGAGTTTGCGAGGTTATTCCGATAGTAAAAAAGGCGAAAATGCCGCATTATATTAGTCATACAGCTTCTCATACTAGTAATATTCACTGGTTGCTTGTTAATTATCACCTCAGGTCAATACAATGAAGAAACGTCATTAATAGCTGTCGCCTCGTTAGCACCACCACTACTTACGTACTTTTCTGTCGATGTCTTCTTTTAGGAATTCGATAGGATGGCTTTTTTTTTAAGGATCACGTACATTGTGAAATTTTATCTAGAACAAGATACGTAATGATGAACGAGGGTAGCGCTCGTTGACAGAGTCGATAGTAATTATTTCAACAATAAAAGTCCGAGTATCCAGATCCGAGATAATTATATTTTGCACTCCCTCCTATTTGCCCGTTACTTTTCTTCGTGAGGTCGCGTCCGTACAATGTGTTATCGACCAAAACTTCAAAAGGGCCAAAAACCTGCTTTCTTGGCGCTCCGACGTAAAGCCTTATTCGATGGGTCCAACGCGCCGCCGAGAAAGTAATTCGTGTCTTGAAAATCAAAGTAGAGCACAAGTTTAAAGATTAAAACCCTTATATCAGAATAACGCCAAGTTTATATAATATGGAACTGTACATACCTTTCTTCCATTGTTTGTAGTGATTCTGAATCATTTTGCGAAGCCGTGGTGTCGCTCCTTTTTTAAACAATTTGATGGTCTTTGTCGCTTTGGATCCAATTGCTTAAATGGAAGAAGACATTCTTGTTGCACTCGTCATGGCAGATGCGGAAGACTAGATGTAACAGATTTTGGCGAACCATTAAGTGATCGTCCATTGAATTAATTCAGAACTGGAGTCGATGTATCGTCATGGTATGTGTCGACTTAATAACAATCTTGCGCCCTGTTGGTTGCCATCGTTGGTATTCGGTGGCGCAAAAATTCGCTGTCGATACTTGATTTCCAATCGCAATTTCTTGCTGTTGACGCAAGGCTTCCAACACAGCCAAAATCTCGGATCAGCAAAATCGATGATGTAGCGCCCTATACGGTGAAGAAGATGTTGTATCTTTACTGTCCTCCTGTTTGACAAAATTGATTGATGAATTCCCGCCCTGACAAAGGCGTAAAGCTGAGTCAGTACATCTACAACAAACATAAAATGTTAATCAATGGTTGACATTACATCTCCCAATATAATCGCTTTGAGACTTACCCATTGGCCATCCACTAAGTGGCGTTTCCTGTTTCACGGGCGGGGAACATGTAAAATATTGTTTCCTCCTCTTCATTAATGTCACCATGTGCAGTTGCATTTGGTCCGTTATTTTTGATCAACTCACTGTAAATTTGAAGAGTATCTACTATTTCATCAGCATAGCCATTATTTGATTAAAGTGCGCTTGATCAGCTTCTGTTGAAAAAATCCAATAATCAGATTTAACTGCTCATATTATTTAAAAACTGTACGAACAATTGTACCTGCTCATCTCCAAGAGAAGAATTGGCACTAATCCCGTCGCATATGGTTGACAACTCGACAGCAACGTTGAAGTCTGCCAAGATTTTTCACCTTTGTCAAGTACTCGGAAGCCTCTTGCAAGGAACAAGCCTACATCGTCGGCCTCGTAGTCTTCACCGACGGGTCCGGTAATAAAAATCCTTTCCAAAATACGGAAGTGAATATCGATTCCTAAGCCTGCAATAACACCTCTAAAATTTGGGACTGTCTGAACGAATGCCGTAGGACTCTCATTCCAAGCAGCAGCTGAGAAACAATCTTCCAAGGTAAAGACAAAGACATTTAATACATTATTAAAATAACGACAAATCAAACGATATTCTGAATCTCCACAACATACACTGTCATCGGCGCTGTTCTGTTTCTGCAATCGCTAATGTGATAGCGCTTGGAGGTACGACTCGTTGAAACAAATCACAGGACCGGTCAAATGCAGTACGCCCATACATTGTAAAGTTTGATATTTGCAGGACCCCATGAAACACTTCTTCGTATTAGCAAATGAGCGAAGCCTAACCATGCGGTATTTCCATATCTGATGCGGCATTGCATCCTCATAATCAAATTTGATGTTCCTACACTTCGTTGAATGAGCTGTGAAGAAACATGATCTGGAGCTTCAGATGCTGATTTTTTCGTCTGCGGTTGTAATAACAATTAAGATGTTGTCACAATAAGTTGATAAAGCCATCCACAATGGCAAGAATTAAAAAGTAGATAAAATCTCAGGAATTGCCTTATCTAGTTTATCAACACGTTGTTTCGGGAGGCATTAAAAAATCGGCATGATTAATTTTACTGTTAAATGACCATGTAAACGCATGTGTAGATAAGATAAACATACCGCTGAATACTTTCGTCCTTAAAGTGGCAACGCCTAATCATCTATGCTCAAGCGTTCTCCACCCTGATGAAGATGTCCAATCATTGAATTTACGTCTACTTCAACTGCTTGCAGTCGATTTACCAAACGCATGTAATCATTTCCTGAAAACCATTTGTCGAATGCTCTATTCAATCATGCCAACGGAACAGAGTACTGGCAAAGACTCCACGAAATATCTCGTAAACGATACTTTTGCCACGAGTTTCTGGACAAATATATCTCGCATTCCGTCACTTGTTAATAAGCTGTTGGATGGGCCGCGAATAGTATTAGCACATCAGTTAATACCGGACTATCATCGTATACCAGTACCTTGTTACGAGTACGTACACAAACCCTTATAGCGTCGTTTGTGAAAGCCGTAGATAGCGAGCGGGCAAATTCGTACATCATGGTAAACACGATCTAATGGTTCAGTCACCAGCATTTCGAAAATCTTCAAATGATCATATGGAGTTCATAATTGGTGAATAGATAGGGATCTTGAAACAAATAGTAAGCTTCCTTCGCACATGGTGAATCATGATCTCTGTTTGATTGACAATGTATTGACCTCCATATGGGATGCTTTGAATGACTCGCCGATTTGGCCTGTTGTTGAATACCCAGTACACTTCCGTTCTGACACAAAAAGGCGTCTGTCATCCTCAGTCGCCAAAGGCCCCCTTTGGCTCGCGCGCGCGTTCTCCTCGTGCGGTTGGCTGTTTGATTTTGTGCGTTGATATGCAATCGTGACATAATTGAACCAGACGATCTATATGGATCATGTGATCAAATAATCAGGAATAACCTATGTCGCTTAATTGCATATTTAACTTGTTTGGGACTGAGTTTTTTTTCTATGTCGAAAAGACTTTGCGCTAACCCGTGAATTTTTTTTAAAGAATTAGATCCAATGTCTCTGATATAATCTTTTGCAATCCGCTCCAAGCATTAGTATTAGTATAATATTTCTTTGAATATAATGCTGAGTATGTCCAATAAAATAAATTCACAATTTCGGATATAAATTAATTTATTTCAAACTTTGCTTAGCACGCGAACATTTTGTTGTTTCGAACGTTGTCTTGCTTCGCGAAATGACGCATTCTTATTGGAAATCGCGCACTTTGACACAATTTTTGTCACGTGTTTATGGGAGCCAAATTCTGTCATATAAAATTGTTGCTTTGAATTCAATTTCTCTGAAATTATTGGGTTTGACATTCAGTTACAAATAATATTAAAATGCAGGAATTTAATAAAAAAAATGGCTTTATTGCCTGTAATGGCAAGTCTACAAAAAGTAAAGCAGTCCGGACCAAGGTTATATAATAATGGGATGATTAAATTCTGTATATTAGAAAACAATTGGTGAACAATAATTTGTGATATATAGTAAACTATTTACACATAACATAAAAATTTCCATGTACGCATGCACAAAGCTTATGTTTCGACCTAAACATAACGTGTTTAACAATGCCATTATTACAATAACTTTTGAGATAAATACACGTGTAATAGTAATGCCTCTTCAAAAAAAATGCAAACAAATTTATGTACAAAATAATAATCCACTCAATACTATCAAAAACTAGAGATAATAATACCACAAATAAACTAGTTACCAAAGTTATCTGCACGAACATAAGCTAAAATAGCCCTTCAACAGTCTAGACTTAAAATTTATCGAAAACGTCGGGCAATGTTAAAAAAACGCAGACAAGGAAATGTACAAAAAGTTAAAGAAAAGTAGCAGAGTATTTTCGACAGTATTGTAGATAATTTGTAAACGCAACGTCTGGACAACGTCAGAGTGTAATTGAGAAGAAAGGGAAAAATTGACTGTCAGTCTATTATTAATAAATCTACAAAATCTCAACTTTCGAACAGGTATTTTTATTGCTGGTTGCAGCACAAAAGATTTTTTAATTTCGAATAACTTTGTAACATTCTGTACGTTAAAAATCTACAAGTAATAGTAATGAAAGCTGTGTGATAAAAGTATCGTTAAAGTATCGTTAAGAAAACTAACAGCAATTTTGACTGGCCAATTTCTGGGAGACAGGTCTTGATTTGGATGCATTTTTAATAGGAAACTGATTGGCTTGAATTTGTTTCGAATGCCGTGGTGTAGTCATCAAGGCGTAGTTTCTTTGTCGGTGTGGTTTTTGTGCAATATTCCGGACAATTGTAACTCGGTAAAATATAGAGCCAACTGTATTGTTTCTGTTATGAACAATATTTAAGCATTTTTGAGAATAACGAAAGTAAAGTTTTATTTTCGCAATCAATACCAGTTCCAACTTTTCCAGCACTAACATTAACACCGGTTTTGTTGCATTTAATTTTATTTGTCATCGTTACATTTTGATTGTTGGAAAATATATTAGACGTTTTAACTTGTACATTGTAAGAATGTATTTCAATATACATCGTATGTGCCTATCCATTTCCCATACATTATCCATCTAATTATTTCTTTTATTTACATGTTAATGTGCGTAACATACACGCGCGTGTTATTTCGCCCCTGTTAAATGAACAACAGACTAAAATTGTAATAGTAATTTGCTCCATGCTATTCGACATACACTCGCGCACAAGCAATATTGTTTAACGATAACTGACATTATAATATAATAACTCGCCCATCGCATAAACGTTTACAACATTTATTAAACATAACGTAAATGGCAATTAGTCTTAATAATTTACTATGCCAGCCGATACATTATATTTACTTCTCAAAAAATTGTAATGGGAATGACTGCTTACCACATGTCTCACTCACAAACTGAGTTTTTATTTAGCATTATCACAAAAACAATCTAGCTTCTCTACCTTTTTCTTAACATTTTACATACTGTAGCTATAGCCAGTCCATGTTTTTTGTACATAATCTTGTCGTACTTCTAATAATTCACTGCCGGATAATAGAGATAGCTGTTATATAATTGTACTGTAAAGTTGAAATTTATTTTCTTTATGTTATTTTTAATTGACGCAAATAATGCGCCGTGTATTAGCTATTTTATAAGAGGCCTTTGCATAAAATGGTGCATTTTTTACTTAGCAATAAGCAGCAATGTTATATGATGCAGTGGGTAGTTTTTGTCATATGCAAAAGTTAGTACGATGGC